AACAGAGGACGACCGGAAATGATTGAGTAACAAATCGTTTCTCAGGCATACAGAATCGATTAAAATAAACACAGATGCGGACATCATCAACCGAGAGAAGATCCACTTTCTTGTACACTCTGCCGTAACACTTGGTAATCGTCTGTTATATAACCATATAGAATGGGCTATTCACGGTGAAAATGATGACTGTAACGTATGCACATGATATTCGTAATTTTTATATTCAAATAAACCAGATATATACGAGGCGTGTTTTTAAAGTAAGTACCGTTTTTAAATTACGCCGCCGCAGCGCTGCGGTCGCCGCTTAGCGCATGCGCGTCGTGTAGCTACATCTGTTGGGTAGCCACAGACGCCGTTACGGAACCATCCGATCGAGTCTACATCTGTTTGCGTGATTTTAAAATGCCTCCACCGATTGTGAATCCCGCCGACTGCGAAGTGCGTGCTATAATACGGTTTCTCTGTACACAAGGCTTCAAATCAGTTGAAATTCATCACCAAGTCAGTGAAGTGTATGGAATGGTGCGAAAATGGGTTAGGGCCTTTAAAGATGAGGAAGACCTTCAGTCATTACCGATGACCTGATCCAAAAAGTGGACTGGACTGCAGAGTGAAAGAGAACACTCGATTCACGATTTCGTCCTTAGCTGAACAGTTTCCTGCTGTCTCAAGAAGTGTTTTTTACGAATTGTGTCCGAACGTTTAAATTATCGGACATTGTGTTCACGCTGAGTGCCAAAAATGTGAAGCAGTGGTTGTTTACTCAGGCGGCAAGCTTCTTTGACGATGGCATACAAAAGCTGGTCCCAAGATACGATAAATGCCTCAATCGTAATGGGAATTACGTAGAAAAGTAGAGTAAAGTATGGCCTTTCAAGTGAATAATTCATTTTTGGACAAAATTTACTTGTTGTTTTTTTAGGTCAAAGCGGTACTTACTTTAAAAACACGCCTCGTATTTCCTTTACAGTGAGAAAATATGAGAAAATTATATATTGTATAACGAATATGTACATTCTGGATATCACACATTTTTACATTACCAGAAGATTTGGGAGAATAAAAACTACTTAATGTAACTCCTGAAAATAACATACATATATATATATATATATATTTATTTATTGTACGACGATTCGTCCACCGCTGTGGCCTTTTTCAAGTACAATTTACAGTTCTGTGACATTTTGTTTATCTGTATTCCAGGCGACTTTTCGTCTCTTTTTATCTGTTTACATTCCAAAGCCCAGAACCGCCATTGCTGCTCCCAAAAGAATATCCAACCACCCAAAGCGACGAGCGAGTATGAGTGTTTTCAATGTACCAGACACGTCACCCTCCTCCATCGTCCGGAAACCGATAAAAGTCATCTGAAAACTGTTGGCGTCGTTTGGTGGTAATACAGACTGCATATTTGCTACTGTCTAATATTTCCCTGTATAAGTTTATTCTTTTGGGGCTTTCCGTGTTTATTGTATAATGGGGTTATTGGAATGTATACCTTGTAAATTATTTCTTTTCCTGCAATAAACTACTACTTCTATTCAAATCATTTGAAGATCGTAATTGTGTGACACTGTACCTATCGATTATAGATGCTTATAATTCCAATAAACTATTACTATAGATTACAGCAGCATTCATAATTTTTCACAATCATTCTAAGTTTTAAGCGGAAATTGATGAGAAAATCTGATATGTAAAATACGAGTAAAAAATCCGCCACCACCAAAACTCAATTTTCAACTCCTAATTTTTTTTATGAAAATTTTATTCGTAAATCCCTAATTTATTTTTCTTAACTAAGTCTTGTCTACGTATGAGACGCTTCTGGAATGCATTCCGAGTATTTACCGGGAGATTAAAAACCTTTCTTTCTTGAATCGGTCCAACTCAATAATAAAAAGAAATTCCAACAAAATTAGTATAAAAAAAATTCTTGGCCTAAATTTTAGTTTAGGAACTAGATAACGAGATGCGTTTTCCACGAGCTTGTTCAAACATCACTTAGCTACTTTTTCATAAAAAAATCATACCAATGCATCAAATTTTTTGAGAAAATTAACACGCTCTAGCGACCACATGTGAAACTTAACAAATCTTCAAATATTTGGAGCCCAAGGATAGCTCTTTTCAACTAGCTAAAGTTTGTTAAAATCGGCTCAGCTGTTTCGAAGATACAGGGTGTTTTTTTACGGAAACCTTTGAACACCCGCACTTTCTTTTTAGAGATACAGCAAAATTTGCCAAAGAAAAAAAGTTCACATTATCCTCGACTTTGAATATCAGGTATTTTTTATTGAGGTTAATAGCGGAATTCATAGAAACAGCATTTTTTTATTCAATATTGCAGTTGCCCTAGTGACCACATCTAACATTTAAAAAACATAATACAGCAGACGCTCGATAACGTAAACACGGGATAATGAAAACTTGCGCTAATGTAAACACAAACTTTGTTCTATAGGATCAAACGAAACGCGCGATAACGTAAACAATGTGTACGCTCGATAACGTAAACAACTCTCGGCGCACGGAAACAGCGCGACGGTAAAATGCTGAAACCTCGATGATTTATACGTTTATACGTACGTATGTATTTCATTTTTGAACTTAATTGAATACATTGCACGCGTTAATATATTTTACGACTATGGCATCCACATCCTATAAAAGAAAGTGTTTAAAGTTGAGTGAGAAAGTGAAAATCATAGACGAAGTTGCACTAGGTGCGGGAGTGACACAGTTAGCAAAAAAATATGGAGTATCGCAAGCAACAATCTGTAAAATTAAGCGTATGAAAACTCAAATTTTACAAAGAACGTGCAATACATTTGGAAGTCCGGGAAAAAGAAAAACTTTAAAAAATGCGAAGGCACCTAAAATGGAAAATTTCCTGTATAAGTGGTTTTTAAAACAACGGGAAAATCATGTCCCAGTTAGTGGCGAAGTACTTAAACAGAGAGCGAGACTGTTAAATGAAAAACTGAAAGAAACTGAAAATTTCGTAGCTAGTGATGGCTGGCTACAACGATTCAAAACAAGATATGGAATTCGACTGCTGTCTATATCTGGTGAAAAATTATCAGCACAACCACAATTAGTGCAACCATTCAAAGAAAAATTGATGAAAACAATTACCGAGATAGATTTAAGAATGGAACAAATTTACAACGCAGATGAAAGTGACGTTTATTGTTACCAGAGAAAACCTATGCTGCATCATTTGAAAAATCTGCCCCGGGAAGAAAGCCGGAGAAACAACGAATAACGTTTCTAGCCTGCACTAACGCTAATGGTTCACACAAAATAAAGCCACTGTTAATTGGGAAAGCAAAAAATCCGCGCTCATTTAAAAATGTTAATACCCCTGTTGATTATGACTGTTCAAAAACCGCTTGGATGACTAGCAGTATATTCCTGAAATGGTTCCACAGGTGCTTTGTCCCTCAGGTATGACAATCAATTATCACAAATGCTCTATTCATAATTTGAAGATGTGTTTTCAATTTGTAGGTAAAAGGTTTCCTAAAACAACAGAAGCTTCCAATAAAAGCGTTGTTACTATTGGATAATGCACCAAGTCATCCTCCCGAGCAACAACTGAGGAGCAGGGATGGGTCGATTTTTGTCATGTACGTAACAACGTAACACCGTTAATTCAACCGATGGACCAGAATATAATAAGACTCACCAAACTATACTATAGGAAGTTTCTACTTTCGTCTGTCTTATCAAAGAATCCTGAAAACTTATCTGAGGCTTTAAAAAAGTAACATTACGAGAAGCTGTTTTAGATTTACATATGGCCTGGAATGAACTTAACAAGCAAACTATCTCTTTTGTACCAATAATAAAGATGATGAAGAAGACGATCTCCCCTTAAGCGTAATTAGAGAACGTTTGCGATCCAATAATGATAATGTCATTAGTGTGTCATTGGATGTTCTTGATTTATTGAAAACAGTGAATCCCAACATTGTTTGTACTCCTGCTGATATTAATTTATGGAACGAAGATAAGCAGACGAATGATGCTGATAAGGAAGAGGATATGGACAGTGAGGATGATGAGAACGATGCTATTGAAGTCAGAAGTGTAGTGACTGACGCGCAAGCTATACAAGTTTTTAACCAAGCTTTAGATTGGGCTGAAAGAAAAGAAGTTTCATACACGGATATTTTAGTTCTTCGTAAATTACGGGCGTAGGCATTGGAAGACAATGCTAAGCGCAAATTTACGCAGACAAAAATTGTTAATTATTTTTCTTCTAATTAAAAAAATACTTATCGCTGTTAGAATATTTGTTTATTTTGTTATAAATAGTATGTATTAAACGTTTCTTTTAATAAATTAAATATTATATAAATCACGTTCGCTAATGTATACATTTCGATAATGTGAACCACACTTGGATTAAATTAGTTTACATTATCGAGCGTCTGCTGTATCTCATTTCCGAATTGTTTCGCGATTACAATGCTTCCCCTTTAGCTGCGTGGGAAGTAAAAAAGAGAATTACCAGTAGCGATTATTCTCATTTATCGTTAGAACGTGTCATTGAAAGAACAAATTTGACAAAAAATCCAGACAAGTTAATCCAGCAGGCTTAAAATGTGGCGGCATCATAGATTAGAGCATTAGACTGTAGACAAATGAAATCCATGTATTTTAAATCATCAATTAATCATAGCTGGCCATATGTTTCGCAAGCTGTGGTTAATAACTAACATAAAAGTGACGTTAAAAAGATAATGTTACACCAATCTGCCACGAAATAAAAAATAATACGATTAACTGTTGAATCAAAATAAGGATAGTATGCCGCATATTCAGACGTGAAGTAAAACAGTTGATTTAATTATAATAAATTATAGATCATGCCTATTGATTATAGCAGCATGTTCAGCAATGATTGTAGGTTTATCAGACCACATAAGTCTATCAGTAACAGTCTTTTTTTACGGAATTGAAAAATCTGATCGTCTATTAACCGTACTTTCACATGTTTGGTTTGGATCTGAAATAGGTGCTTTAGAACCGCCACAAGGTAATTTCATGGACGCAATTGTGATTTCTGTTGACATGACTTGATTTCTAGATAAAAAGAAAATTGAAATTTTAGCACGTTTACAGATGTAACGTATTGATTTGTTATCGGGAAAAGTACATATAAACTATTAATAAGGGGAGTCACTTAAAACCTACGCCCAGTTCCTTGTATTTGGAGTATTATAATGAGTATTGTGCGTAAGTATAAACGTACAATCTTTCGGTCTTACCTAGTTGATGAGACCTAGGCTATAATCGAAACATGCAAGTCCACAACAAGGCCATGTGTGGGGAATATAATATGCCCTGTAGTGCTTATAGAAATCTCATTATAATTGTTGCATATTGTTTTAACTTTTGTTTGTAGTGTGAATGCAATGGAGCAACGCTTTTATTCGTGTTTTATTATAGATTAGAAATTGAAAGTGTTCCGACTATGTGCTCATAGTAGACTGGTGAAATACGCCCCACATTTTGGAAAATGGAAATCACCAACATAATAAACCAATTTTTTTATTCATTAATACAAAAACAAAGCAACTAAACATCGTTTTTCTCTAATATAAACATAATTTCTCACTAAGGTTAAGAAAAGTTACAAACAACCAAACTTAAAAAAAAAGCATTTGGGGCGTATTTGCCCGAAACTTGTGAAATACGCCCCTAGTAGAAAATTAACGTTTTTTCGTGGCACAAAGATTACACATGTTTGTGTGGTTCGTGCAGGTTTCATGTAACCATTTACTACATGCTTCACATTGAATCCAGTCAACCTTAGATTTGGTGGTGTAGTAGTATTCGCGACATTCAAGGCAGTAATCATCAGTGTCATCAGATAAGTCTTCAGAGGAGCTAAAATGTGGTTCAGTTTCCGACGAAGACGAACTTGATACATTTTGTTTTCTTTTAACTTGTTTAACGCAGGCTTTCCTCCTAATTTTTTTCTCATTTTCGCTCGGCTTTTTTCGTTTGTCTTTTTTATCTTGAGCTTGTTTTTTTTTTCTCTGAGAATACTCGTCTTTTAACCCGATTTTCAGGAGACGTCAGTTCTAAAGCATGTTGTTTCCTTTTCGGAATTGTATTAGGTATTAGAGGAATTGGGTTATCTTCTCTTAAAAATTTTGAAGGAGTTTCTTTTTCTTCTAAATTTAATGAAACTTCTGAGGCTTCGTTGGAGGTTTGAGAATCGGTAGACATATCAGAAACACCCATGTTTGTATGTCCAGGAGAGAAGGAAGTAGAAGGTTGAGCTTTATTTGGCCCTGGAGTTAAATTAGAATGATATGATGTTGAAGGAAGAGCTTTATTTGCGCTAGCGGCTGAGATACTGGCGTCCGAAATGGAGAAAAAATGTTCTGGAATGGCCTGAGGATTGTATGGATAAATACCACAAGCTCTGAACCCAGATGTGGCATTCGCGACGGTTGCCGCTTTTCCCCATGCATTCCCAATTAATCTCGAAATATTTATTCTGGATAGCTTTCTATTTTTATTTTGAATCATCCAGTTTTTTGCTTCTTGAAAGAAATAAGTTTTAAGTGGCTTAAAAAAAGACCTGTCCAAGGGTTGAAGAGCTTGTGTCGTATGACTGGGGAGACACAAAATAACTACTTCATTTTCATTAGCTAAATCTAATAGCTCAATAGCATTACAATGGGATGCGTGCCCGTCCAATATTAATAAGGCTTTCCCATTGCCTTTTTTTTGGCAAAAAGTAATCTTTAAACCATTTTAGGAATAATTCTGAATTAATGTAGGATGATTTTGGATTCATTAGCACACCGGATCCGGGAGGAAGACCATCCAAAAATTCATCTTTTTTGTTCTTTCCTTTAAATATTAAAACAGGTGGCAAAAAGTAACCTTCTGCGTTGCAGCATGAAACTAAGGAAATATTTTCTCCTCTTTCTGATGTTGTCAATGAATAAACATCTTTTGTCCCTTTAGTTGCTACTACTTTCCCAGGCTTGTTGTTAATCTGAATGCCTGTCTCATCGACATTGAATATTTTATCTGGTTTATTAAGCAAGTTATTTTTTATGATGACATCGCGCAAAAGAGTAAAAAAATTGCTAACATCTGTTCTGTTCATTCCTGTTGCCCTAGCTAGTGAGAGCCCTTCTGACTTTCTGATACTAAGCTCTCTATTACGTCGCAAAAACCCTTGAAACCAATCATCCCCAGCTGATTTGGCTTCTCTGGAAAATCGGTGATTTAAATGAAGCTTCTCTGCAAATGAAAATGCCATTTTTTTAACAGAAGTAGCATCTGGTGCAAAGCCAACTCTTTCAAGGGCCTTTATATGTAAGACCAGCCTTCTTTCGTGTTCTATTCCTATTTCTGGACAACGGCCTAAGCGTACTTTTGAAGACTTGGCGATCAAATGCCTTCGTAAAGTACGAGATGAAATCCCATACGCTCTACTTGCTTCATTTGTGCCCATTTCTCTTGAAATTACCTTTTGCATAGCCTCTGCCAATGCTTCTTCACTAAATGAAGCACGGGTGGTTTTGCGAACATATACTCTACCCATATTCTGTAAACCAAAAGTACCTAAATTAACTAAAACTCACACCATTGGGTGGGGCGTTTTACACGAATTTTACTGGGGCGTATTTCCGAAACGCGGGGGAATACGCCCCACCGGTTATCAAGCTAACATGAAATGCAAACCGAGGCGGAATTGGCGCAATTTATAGGTTAGAAATGGTGTTTGTCTAAAGTGATCCCAAAACTATAAAAATTTTGCAAGACATTCTAAAATAAAACAAAAATATTACATACCTTAAAATTTTATGGGCTCTAGATGACAGTAATGCATATTTTTTTCAAATAAAACGCAATAAATTGGCATAAACACACACGGCCGACTTTCTGGAGTATGACAGCAACGTAATGGCGGTGGCTAAGGTAACTGCTGCCGGACGTAATTTGTTACGGTGACACTGGGGCGTATTCCCCGGTGAGGCGTATTTCACCGGTTTACCCTAACCAAATTCTTAGTCTAAATATTCCAAAATAGGCGAACTTTGGAAGAATATGTCAAAATTGGGCTTTAAGAAACCGTCATCAATATATTTAAATGCCAAAATTTCATAGATACGATCAAGTTGAAATACCTATCAGTTATTTTCAGGGCCGAATTCCTTTTGCATTGATAATCTTTGGTATTGAAAAATCTTCAAGGATTGAAAGATTTTGGTGTAAATTTTTTAAATCTCTTGCATCTGAAAACTAAGCGAGAACTATTTCCCTGGATAAACTGGGTGCGTAGTTCACGACTTCGTCAGCTTTTCTCTAAAGTGTATGGGAAAAGCAAAAGGCACATTTTCCATATTCCAAATAGAAAATTGCTACACTTTTGGATCTTGCGAAAAACGAATTTGAAATACTGACCTTTATTCTTATCTAGTTAAGGAATGAAAGACGAAATTTCGTAATGAAAAATCTTTAAAGTATGCATGTGCTCATAACAAAATTCTTTGTTTAAGTATTCCAAAATAGGCGAATTTTGGAACAATATGTCAAAATTGGCTTTAAGAAATCGTCATCAAAATATTTAAATGCCAAAATTTCATAGATACGATCAACTTGAGATACCGTTATTTTCAGGGCTGAATACCCCAATTCCTTTTGCATTGATAATCTTTGGTATTGAGAAATCTTCAAGGATTGAAAGATTTTTGAAATCTCTTGCATCTGAAAACTAAGCGAGAACTATTTCCCTGGATAAACTGGGTGCGTAGTTCACGACATCGTCAGCTTTTCGCTGAAGTGTATGGGAAAGGCAAAAGGTCCATTTCCCATATTCCAAATAGAAAATTGCTACACTTTTGGATCTTGCGAAAAACGAATTTGAAATACTGACCTTTATTCGTATCTAGTTAAGGAATGAAAGACGAAATTTCGTAATGAAAAATCTTTAAAGTCTGCATGTGCTCATAACAAAATTCTTTGTTTAAGTATTCCAAAATAGGCGAATTTTGGAACAGTATGTCAAAATTGGGCTTTAACAAACCGTCATCAAGATATTTAAATGCCAAAATTTCACAGGTACGATCAACTTGAAATACCTATGAGTTATTTTCAAGGTCGAATACCCCGATTCCTTTTGCATTGATAATCTTTGGTATTGAAACATAGTCAAGGATTGAAAGATCTTGGTGTACATTTTCTAAATCGCTTGCATCTGAAAACTAAGCGAGAACTATTTCCCTGGATAAACTGGGTGCGTAGTTCACGACATCGTCAGCTTTTCGCTGAAGTGTATGGGAAAGGCAAAAGGTCCATTTCCCATATTCCAAATAGAAAATTGCTACACTTTTGGATCTTGCGAAAAACGAATTTGAAATACTGACCTTTATTCGTATCTAGTTAAGGAATGAAAGACGAAATTTCGTAATGAAAAATCTTTAAAGTATGCATGTGCTCATAACAAAATTCTTTGTTTAAGTATTCCAAAATAGGCGAATTTTGGAACAATATGTCAAAATTGGCTTTAAGAAATCGTCATCAAAATATTTAAATGCCAAAATTTCATAGATACGATCAACTTGAGATACCGTTATTTTCAGGGCTGAATACCCCAATTCCTTTTGCATTGATAATCTTTGGTATTGAGAAATCTTCAAGGATTGAAAGATTTTTGAAATCTCTTGCATCTGAAAACTAAGCGAGAACTATTTCCCTGGATAAACTGGGTGCGTAGTTCACGACATCGTCAGCTTTTCGCTGAAGTGTATGGGAAAGGCAAAAGGTCCATTTCCCATATTCCAAATAGAAAATTGCTACACTTTTGGATCTTGCGAAAAGCGAATTTAAAATACTGACCTTTTATTCGTATCTAGTTAAGGAATGAAAGACGAAATTTCGTAATGAAAAGTCTGGTGAAAATTTTCGAATAGCTTTGCATATCTTCAATCTAGACGAAAATTTGTTTGTTAGATGAATCATACATAGGTATATCACCAATCTAATGTCGGTTTTTAGCTAGTTGGATTCCAAGAGTTCCATGTTCGTTTTCCTAATTCGGTGTCAAATCTACCGGAAACTTGAAATACGAAGTTTGGAAACGTTTTGAAATATTACCATAAGGACTCCAAAGACGCATTTCATAAAGATCTAACCACTACCTCACTCTCAAACTATGTACAGGTGCTCCAAGTCAACGGCCGTTAGTTCTCCTAACCCACAGGGATCAGTTTTAGGTGTTTTCATTTCCTTATGAATACATTGCTTGGCTGAAATTTTATTTCCTGACATTGCTTGACTGAATCAAGCAGTACCATGGGCAGCATTTAAGGGCTTTAGGATTTGCCCCCAGCTCTAAAAAATTTTGTGGGGGCAGATACTATCTCATAAAAAGTTGACTTTTGATGATAATCGATTCTCCTTGAAAAATATTCCTTTGGGCGCCCATGAGAGATGCTCCTTTCCAAAAAGCGCATAGTATTGTCTTCGACTTGGTCCAATGGTCAATATAAATCAACACTTTCTTTCGTTGATCCAACACAGTATAACAATGTGGAATATTACAGGCACACTGTTCATTGTACAATTTAAAAATCATTATATGTACTGGTCATTCATGACGCAACAGGTACAAAGTATCTCGACCTCTGTAGATAGTTCCATAAAACGCTATTAAGCAAAGAATTACAAAACAAGCACCGACCTTCGAGATATACTAAAATATATCAACCTTGTCTCACCTTACATCTCCTTGCAGGCATATTTAAGTTTGAAAATTGTAAGATACTGCGTTTAGGTAATGATCTTGAGGAACGCGTGCTTGTTTTGACAACAAATATTTACTTAATTAGATAATAACGTTATGAAATCTGGTACGTTCACATTTTTTGCAATTATTCTTTATAAAAAAGCAATTTTGTAGCTTTTTTATTCCGTAAAAGTAAAAGGTAATGCAGACAATGACCATAATGGGGTATGAAAAACACAATAGTATTCTAGTAAGTATATCCGAGAACCAATTTCTTAAAACTTAGAACAGTCTTGAACATGGACATATACTAAGTGACATATAAATCCGAACACCCAGTTTAAATGGTATTTTAATAAAATTTTGTATAAGTACTTAATGAAGCATAATAAGTAAATGATAAAAATTTCAAAATGATTGCACTGCTTTAAAGCCATTTGACCTTTAATAATGTGTGGATGCACCCTGATGTGCTACGCATTCTCCAACGCGCCTAGGCATGCTTCTGATCAGCTGGTCAATGTCCTCCTGTGGTATCTCATTCCAGGCAACCACCAACTCCTCTCGAAGTGCTTCTAGAGTCTGAGGAGGACGTTGCAAATTGAGCAATCTCCTACCCATCATATCCCACACGTGCTCAATTGGGGATAAGTCGGGAGATCTTGGTGGCCATGGTAACAATGTGACATCATTATGTTGAAAGAAGTCTATTGTGACTCTTGCAACATGTGGTCGGGCATTATCTTGTTGGAAAGTTGGATCTGCCAGGGTGTCAAGATAGGGTAAAAGATGGGGTTCTAGAACTTCGTGGATATAACGATTAAATGTGACCTGGAACCATAAGCTATAGCACCCCAAACCATAACTCCAACAGTGTGATGAACATGTCTTTCAACAAAAAACTGTGGATTCCTCCTTTCACCACGTCGCCTTCTAACCGTGGCACGACCATCGTGCATGCAAGGCCAATAATCTTAGGCGGCGATCTTCACGGTCTGTTGTTCTACGGCGGCGTCCAGTGCCCCTTGCTCTTTGCGTACGGCCTTCTCGAAGCCATGCCTGACAACACCTAACCACAGTGTCTACACTTCTTTGCACTCTAACTGCAATTGCCCGAAAAGAAAGTTCAACTTCCCGAAGTCCCACTATACGGCCCCTATCAAACTCACTAAATTGACGAAATCGTACAGGTCTCCGTACTCTAGGCATCGTAACCGATCGTAAAGGATGTCAAGACCCAAAATCCGCCAACGTTGATTCTTTACTGCGGCTGAAATATTCCTTTTTAGAGCGTTAGTGAATTAAGAAAAAGCAGTATAAAAACCGGAATGTCCAACTGATAAGGCTGAAAATTTTTTCACTTGTTATTTACAGTAAGATAAATACATTCACCAACTTTTATTAAAATAAAACCATTTAAACTGGTTGTTCGGATTTATATGTCACTTAGTATATTATGTGATAATTATCCTTGCTGATCACTAAAATTAATAATACTCTAATCTCCAGTAACATATTGAAGGAAGCTAGCTCTAAGGTGATGCCTAACGTATAGTCATAAGCTATTTCTTTAATTCCTGTAATAATCGTGAATAACATTTTAAGGATCAATGAAGAGCTACTTTCGGTTAAATATCCTTTAGCTATTGCTGTACAAACTTTTCTTTTAATATTGCTCTATGCAGATCAAATTAATGCAAAATTCTAAGGAAACTGACTGTACTTTGATACGTGTCAATTGCCAAAAAGACAATTGTTTCCCAAAATCCGGGCTCAAACTTGGATAATATAAAAACATTGCTATACAAAATTTATCT